TGTTGTCAAATATCATCCAAGCTTAAACCAGATATTCATCTAGGGACATCGTAGTAGTTACTGGCCCCCATTCCAGCTATAGTGATGGCTTCTGACATATCAACAAAAAACTGTTGTCATAACTCCTCCCAAACGATGCTAAACATCCATGGTGTTTATGTGTTGTTTAATGCCTTAATCCTCTGGTATTTGACCCTGCTTCTAGCTATCTGTAGAATGTTTGGAAGATAGAGATAAAAAAAGGTTGATTCAAAAGAAGAGGTATTTACACCTTCCCTTGTTTTTGGATTGTAACTCATCACCGATCAATACCTTTTGATTGGTGGGAAATGCATTGTTTGCTGCCTTGTTATTAGCAGAAGGTACAGTGGACCCCTCTGCTGGCCAGGATTTCTGGGAGTTGAAGTCTGAGAACATCTGGCGGCCCAAGGTTGGAGACCACTGCTGTAGAATGTTTGGAAGATAGAGATAAAAAAAGGTTCAGGAGATATCTGTTGAAGGTGTATTGATTCAAAAGAAGAGGTATTTACACCTTCCCTTGTTTTTGGATTGTAACTCATCATTGATCAATACCTTTTGATTGGTGTGAAATGCATTGTTCGCTGCCTTGTTATTAGCAGAAGGTAGTTGGTGACACTTTGCAAGACTTTCTCAGTAGAGGTGTGCCATTCATGGAATTCCTTCTAGGTGACATAAAGTCAAAAATGTTTAGATAAAGGCCAAAGACTTCTTTAAAAAAAATTCTGTAAGTCGAGGGTCCACTGTAGTTGGTGAAACTTTGCAGGACTTTCTCAATAAAGGTGTGCCATTCATGGAATTCCTTCCAGGTGACATAAATTCAAAAATGTTTAGATAAAAGCCAAATACTTTTTAAAAAAAATCTTCCAGCCATTATTGAATGTGTTTAGATTGGACCCACATAGTCAACCCACATACTTGGAAAATCCCAAGTAGAAAAGGAAACTTTTCAAGCTTGTAACAGTCTCCACTAAAGGTGTGTGGTGTGAAACAGCCACAACGCAGTTCTACATCTGAGTGACAACTATCAAGAAAGTGTTTTTCTTATACTCATGAGTCTACCTCCTCTGAACAGTAGACTCACTGGAGCTGCTAGTGGTGACCTAAGCCAGAAAGAGGAAATCTCTGACCCACATACTGGGTTAAGCCTTCTAGGCCTTCTCTGTCTACACACAAGATCTTTACTGAGAGAGGAGTATTCATTTGAAGCTGGCATGAAGTGGCTGTTCCCAAACCTATGATCGGTTCTCAGATTTCCTTTTGGGAAAGGCAAGGATCAAGTAAAACTAGTCCCTAAATGAGCTGTCACTGTAGGGTGTTTCTAGCTTATTGAGATGGAAGCTTCCCAGGCTTTGCTCAGTCCTTGCCTTTCCAGTTGTGAGACCTGTGGCTCTATTGGCCTGAAGTGTTTGGGAGGATGGAGATAGCAGTCTCCTGCACATTCCTCAATATATATGTATATGTGAGTGAATGGAGTCTGTATTAGACATGGGCTACACAACCTGTGGTGCCTCGGTGGCCCAGTTTCCTGCCCCAGAACTAGCTAGCCTACTCACCAGGCTCCAGATGGGACTGGAATCCTTCATTGTTGTTATCGTTGTGCCAGTTGTGACAGGAGCCTGCCTGGCTTTCCCCGCCTCCCCATGCAACTGACCACTTCAGTAAGGAGGTGGACGGATTCCCCACCTCCCCATGCAACTGACCACTTCAGTAGGGAGGTGGACGGAGAGTCTCCCCATTCAGCTGATCAGTGGTTGGCTGCATGGGGAGGTGGGGAAAACTGGCTGGACTCCTGCTGCAGTTGGTGAGATGATGGCCTGAGCACCATGCAGAGCCTCTCCCCACCTCCCCATGCAACTGACCACTTCAGTAAGGAGGTGGACGGAGAGTCTCCCCATTCAGCTGATCAGTGGTTGGCTGCATGGGGAGGTGGGGAAAACTGGCTGGACTCCTGCTGCAGTTGGTGAGATGATGGCCCGAGCACCATGCAGAGCCTGGTGAGTGGACCAGCTGGTTCTGGGGGAGGAAATTGGGCCCTGGTAGCACCTGTGGAGCTGCAGATTGTATTCGTATCCACAGAGATACAAATAGCCCATGTCTAGCCTGTATGTGTTTATGAATGTATACTTCCATTTGAGTGTTCAGTGCACATCTCTTGGACAGCACATACACGTAGTGGGGGCCCCCTCACCTTCTGATGTCATCAGGTACCTATTATTCTTGCCCAGCGCCCTTAGACTGCCAGACGGTACTCACCTTCTCCTACATGTAAGGTCAGGATTTTATTGATTTTCCAACACAGAAACATCATTTGAGATAACTGTATTTATTGGCAGTTTCTTTAGGTGTTTTTTTTTTAATCCTTATATGTTACATTCTGGGATGATAGAATTTTAGAGAATTTTGAACAATAATAATCTTGATTAGGAAAAGTTGCACTGTTTTCCTACAAGGGGTCAATGCAGAGAAACAGCCTCTGAAATCCTGATATACTGGAATGGGGTAAGCTCTCATTTCATTCATACTTTCTCTCTTGTTGAGCTTTTGTAGGCCTGACATTTTTTTTCATTGAGCTTTGGAAGCACAACATTGATATTCCTGCCATGCAAATTGTATTGACATATGTATTATCTTTTTCTTCTGTTTCAAGAGGCATAGTTTCATTTTATTTTGCCCAGTGAAGCTGTTAGCAGCAGTGACCCAGTATGTCTGTAGAATAAACCATGTTTCCTTAGAGCTGTGCAGCACACAAAACATATAGTAACAGACCCCACTTACTCCTGAGTGTGCATGACAGTAGTGTATTACATAGTCTGAGGTAGTGTCGAGGAGCTGTGAACATTATGGCATAGAGGTGGTGGCACTTCCCTTTGAAAATGTGGAGCTCCTCCATGCAGCTGTTACATGAAGGGGGCAAATGTGACGTAGACTGCATGCTGAAATAGGTAAATCTGAAGGTTCACATTGACTTTGTCATGTGACATTGTTTTCCCTGCTTTTGATAGGACTGTGCCTAGTGATGTAGCTCTGTCTATATTAAAAGAAGCAATCCCATCAGGGTGGGGTGTGTAGCTGAAATTGAGAGTAGCTTTTCTGTTGCTGTTGCTGATTCCTCCTGTAACAAAACTTTTCCTATAATTTTAGATAATGTGTTGCTTTTGCAATGAGGCCCTTTTAGTTGTGTAAATTAGGCTTGCCTTGCACTGAGTGATCTTGCCATTGAGTGTTCCTAAACATGTCTCTTCTAAAAAGTATATTCTCTTACTTCCTTTATGTATAGTAGGATGAGTCCATAAAGCTGTTAAATGATATACTGTATCATGGTGTGTCCCTGCATTGAGCACAATGAGTCACAATGAATTTTCAGCTTGGATGTACCATTTGAGTGGAGAAGTCAGAACATGATGTGCTTTTCCCTGTACTGGAGGACAAGCTGAATCCCACTGTGAAGAAATTTTAGTCACTGGATAGATATTTTATTAGCAGGCATTTACACATTTGGTCAATGTTGATGTGTACAATTAAGCCTTCAGCCACCAGAATGTAGTTTCTGTACTGTCTCTTTCTCTGCCCTTCACCTGTACAAAAATTAGCTACAGTCTTAGGGAGTGAGGATGTTGGTGAGGAATGCAATATTTTACTCTACAGCTGTTCCATGTTCCAAAAAAAGTAGGTAAGAGTAGCCCAGCATCAATGACATATTATTTTGTGTAAGCTACCTTGGGTATTATTTTCACATCAGAAGGAAAGATTGGGGACAGGAAGAAAGAGAAATTAGTGAACAGAGAAAGGATGTTCTCAGTTATTAATCTTTTGCATTAATTGTTCTGGGGGGTTATGGAACCCTTCAGGATGGTATGGGTAGTTTAATGGGTGAGTATCTGGGAGGGATAGGCATTATCAGGCCCAGGGTTCAGGTTTCTGCCTCTTGGGACCCAGTGACAGCTGCAGAGACTAAGAAAAATGCCAAAAATGTAAGAGGGATAACTAGAAGTCCACTTGCAGCTTTATACTAAAAGTATTTTGGAGTTTTTAATGGCAGTGGGAGCTGTGACCTGTTTATTACTCCTGAAGATCTCCAGAAGCTGCAGTTCAACCTCTTTTTTTCCCAGGAAAAAAAAAGAGGGAGCTCGGGAGGACAGTTTATGGAAAGAGCTGAGGTCCAGTTTTGGGAGCCACGTGTGGCCCAAGGGGCAAACGTCCCCCATCTTTGCAGTAAGGAAGAAGGGGGATTCAGTGATAATTATCTCTGTCGCCTTTCCTTCTTATACGAACTGAATCCCAGCTCCTTCCATAAACAAATTTGGATCTAACCCAGTATTTCCATGTTTGCTTGTATTATCATCTAAAGATAGGTTTAATGTATTCACCCTTGGGGGGGATTTAAGTTTTAGGAAATCCTAGCAATCTGGTGTCTACACAGCCTGTGACAATGAAGCTGACAGATCACAAATCCTGTCATGCTTGAAGGGAGGATGCATGAGGTCAGCTCTGTTGCTAACAGCTGAAGAATGATTGGTGGTGGTAACTTGATTTCAGTCTTAGATAGGGGACAGGGACATAAATTATGGTACTCATTTGAATGTTTACTCTCTTGTCTGCCAGCAGACTTCATTGGGAAAAAGCAAACACATTTGGGAGAAGAGGTGTTTTTTCACTGGCATGAGTGAAAAAAAGCTTCCTTGCATTTAGAAAATCAGATTGTGCAAAGCAGACGGCTGGGTGATAGAGATAGCATGACTAATTGGAGCTGTGGCTGCCTTGTCCTGTTGTTTCTTCTTGTATGTTAATCATTTATTTATTTATTTTCCCTTTATCTGCTTGGATTTTGTTGCTAAGTGCTTTCCTTTGCTTTCAGGAAAATGGAGTATACATTCTATAAAGTAAATAGGTGCATCCCTTCTGGTTTTATGTATGTCTTTTGTGATCCTCTTTTCTTATAGGTGTTTTGATATTTCTCTTAATGTCCCTGTATTTTACAGCTGGATCCCGGGCTTCCTACACAAGCCAGCATAGCCACCTAGGCTCAGAATTAAGGGCACTACAGTCTCCGGAACACCACATAGATCCTATTTATGAAGACAGAGTATACCAGAAGCCCCCTATGAGGAGTCTCAGCCAAAGTCAGGGAGACCCTCTTCAACCAGCACATACAGGCACTTACCGCACTAGCACAGGTAGGTGGAAACAGCCTGCACTTTTTCACCCTTTATTTGGTTAGGTGTGTTATTTTTACAGTTCTTTGCATTTTCTTCTCTGTTGGAAAAACAATAACTGAAATTATAGGGAGAGAATTCTGAAAGCTGTTAGTGGGTTTGAGACCCATGAGTTAAGGATCTTATTTTGCTCTATCTTTTCTTTCCTCTCTTGTGCTCTCATTCATGTCCAAAACCTAAGCATATTGTATAATGGCTTGCCAAAACATATTGGACTACTTGGTTCATTTGTTGTGAGTGTGTATAACTGTAAGAGGAACAGGGAGGCTTTATCATGTGGTGAATGGAAAATTAAAAACCAGATAGTTTAAGAATTTCAGACGTGGAGGGAGGAATGAATTAAAGATGGGAACATATGTTCATTCTCCACTTCATATATGTACGCACATGCTCATTCATTAATTTTGTCTGTCACTCCATGTAAAGTAGCAGTATAAGTGGATGCATTTCATTCAATTTTTCAGTACCATTGATTCATCTTTAATATAATAGTGCATGATCATACGTCAAATATATTGATGCAAAAGTTTTATTTGTGGAGTATTATCTCAGCTGTGTAACATAGCTCTATATTAGGAATCCTGTGAGCAGCAACCAACTCAATAATAACAATATATGAGAGATTTTACACTCGGCATGTTCAGATACACAATAGTTTTCAAGAGCCACGTAGGGAGCCAATGTTAGATGTGATTGTGCCATTATTCATTCATATTTACTGGATGTTTTCTTCACAGTGTTGCACTTGCACTGGGTCTGAATTTTCTCAAATCAAAGAGACCATTTGCATTGCTAGAAGACTGGTTTGATTTTGCTTCAGCCTTCTTAGAGTTACATTCTTAATCTTTACATTGTCTCTTCCCCCCCCCCCGTCTCCCAGTAATATTTGGTAATTAATTTTGCATTCTCTCAACATCCAGAATTTTAGGATGTATGTAAAGATGAATCTAGCTGTTTTGTTTGATTTGTAGATACTGTACCTTCAGTGCCTGACAGAGGACAAAAAAGTCAATAAAGATCTACTAAAGAGGCACTCCTAATGACTATGGATAGAGGATTAAAAGGTAGACCTGAGCAAGGAATCATGCTTATATCCATTACAAGCAAATATGTTACAGCAAATACATTAGAGCAGTAATTAGATTGTAAAGTGAATAAGAAGTTAGAAGAAGGCATAAGCATGATCTCATGTTTCTGCTAGACTTGAAGGAGTGAAACTAATTTTTATCTGTAAATTTCTTGTGTGTATATTTAAGTAAGTGTAGGAGCCATCTAAAGGGAAGGATACAAGAGGCAGGGAAGGTCAGCTTGCAGACATTAAGCAATACTATGTTAATTGTTTCAGAGGAATGATACTCCTTTTGAAGTATGAGTTTTTCAAGCTGTGTGAGCAAAATACTACAGTCAAAATCCTGTTGTATAGTTACACTGGTGAAAGAGAAATGGGACAACTGGATTCCTCTTTGCACACCAGTCTGTGCGGTATGATTTTGGCATATATGTATTGTTTACTAGCCATATTCAGTGTTCTCCTCTGGACATATAAGAAACATCAAAGTAGGCTCAGGGCCTGACTTTGCTGCAGATATGCTGCAGGTTTTGTTTTGTTTTTTGTTTTTTGGAAGAGCAAAGACCAACCATCTTAAGTCAGCTTACTGTTACTTATGCAACTTGCTTATTTTTATTAAATTTTCCCAAACAGCAATATAAAAAAGTGGATCACTTGACATTATTTTCAATTAAGAAATGTTAAAATACTAACAAGGATCATAGATAGCACGCTTCTAGCCCAGATGCTTCTGTGTCCTGTATAAGGCTCATACTATGGTGATGCCTCCTCAGAACTCAGAAATGTTAAAATACTAACAAGGATCATAGCACGCTTCTAGCCCAGATGCTTCAACATACAGCTCTGTGTCCTGTAAAAGGCTCATACTATGGTCTTTACTCCTTCTGCCCTGCTCACATTAGTTGCATAGAACCCCGTCCTGTGGCCCCAACTTTATAGGACTCCCTGTGAAAGGAGGCAGGAAGGGGCTGCTGGCACAGCTAGTTAGTAGCATGTTTTTGGAGTTGACTGTCTCTTACTGTCTTCCATGTTCGTGAGCCTACCTGTTCTGTTGCTGTTTTTCATTGCTTTTTTGCTAGCCATCCCTTTCTTTTATACAGTAATCATTTGGTTCTCTCAGTCAGTTATACAATCTTATTTTTCTCTCACTTCTGTCTGTTTTCCTGGTCTCTGTTTTTTCGCCTTCATTTTTTGTGGTCTTGATTCTGCACATGATTCCTGTATGTGGAAGTCATTATCAATAACTGTGATTTGGTGAAATTGCATCATTCTCAGAAGAAGCATATAGCCTTGGATCAAATGCATAGATTTTGAGTGGTTTGAATTGTTTCAGGGGATAAAGTTTAGCAATATAGAGTTAAGATATTTTGCTTTGGAAGAAATATCAGCACTTTCTGCTATTGATTGTATGCCATTAAATTAAAGGCAATATTTATAAAACTAAAAAGACAATTTTAGAAAATGAGTCCCAACCAAAACCTAAATAGAATAAGGCAAATATTGGGGTGCACAGAAACTTGGAGAACAGGTTTCAGAGTGTGACTAAAATATAACACCAATAAAATATATATACATACTAGTAATTACAATCAGCACATGGCTGAATACACAAGAACACAAGTTATGTGAATGATAAAACTCCAGAACATGCAAGCATAAAACACTAGGTAATAAGACATGCAAATAATAAATAAGCCAAAAGGACTTCCTCAGGTCAGGCACAGGTAATTACTTGTATATGTATATTTTTATTGGTTTGTGCTACATTATGACATCCTCTAGTTCCTGTTACCAGTGTATGTGGTGTTTAATTGAAGCATTCTCAGATTCTCATTGAGTGTTGGGAATTTATAATAAAATATTCCTTTTATATTATTTCATTCCATTTCTATTTGCTGTCTGCTTTTTCAAGTGCCTGTGGATCCCAATTTTTGTGTTGTTCTCTGAAAATTTATAAACCCACCACCACATGGACTCTGGTACTAGAAAAGTGGAAGAGAGAATTCAGGGAATGAAGGGATGGTGTGTGTTCCTACCACATTGGAATATAATAAAGCTGCTCTTAGCTGCATCATGTGCCAGCTCAACGCATTGCACTTGAGGCCACACCTGTGGCACAAGGAGTCTCTTTCTTATGTGCTGTCTCCTCCCACTTCCTTTTTTGGCACAGTTGCAAGAAGAGGATCAAATCTTTTTACTTCTATTTTTTTATCAACTGCAGCTTGGCATTGCCCCTTACCTCAACTATTCTTCACTCTAATCACTGTTTTACTAAAACAAGCCAGCTCTATAAAGAAAATTTGAAGCAGGTTTGTTTCAATAAACTGCAAGATGGACCCCTTTCTTGTTTATTATTTCATTTGTATTCTGTGTCATATTTGATTCTTTTCCTGTCTACCATTTTTATTTTCACCACCCCCTATAAAGTATGAGGTGAACTGAGAATCAGTGAATGGCCTTAAACCACCCAGTGAATATTTATGTTTTAAAGAAAGTTGAGCCTCGGTCTCCCTGATCCTTAGTCTGCCTACGCTATACCATGGTAGGTTTCTGTTTGCCTGGGGAAACATAATAGGCAAAATCCTCTTGCAGAAAGTTACACAGTGCAAACCAAATGATGTCATCATCCAGCACCAATAATTTAATTCAAACTAATTAAAAGTTTCTTATCCTCCCTCTTTCAGGTTCTGAAGCTCCCTACAATTTGCTTTCTCAGAGCAAAAAGGAGCCCTAGGGAGCCTTGAAGTGGGAAGAGAAAGAAAAATATTCATTAGTTTAAATTTAATGCTACCAGTTCTGCATGATGACATCTTCCCATTTTTGCTGCATAATTGTATGTAAGCATGATTTTGGTCAGTGAAAAAAATAAGAATTCTACAAAAATGATAATGAAAGTTTCCTGCCTTATCCTGGTGGCTATGATAGGCACAGTGGGGACTATATATCCCCTGCGGCTTACTTGGAGGTTATTCCAAAGTGATAAACTGTAGATGTAACAAGCCACCCCCGAGAACAAGTATTCATATGAGAATGTGATAAATTCAGCATCTTTCTCACAGTGATTTTTATTTTGTAAAATGCATATGTATTATATTGTTGTACATCTGAGTGTGGCATACATCAGAAAAATAATTATTATTTATTTTATTATTTGATTTATTTGATTTCTATCCCGCCTAGCTAATCAATTAAGATTACTCTAGGCGGCTTACAACCATAGAGCAACAACAATATGAATTAAAAATAATTTTACAAAAGAAAAGTTGCAACATATTAGGAAAGAACTTGGGAGTAAAAAAAAGGGAAATAAGAAGAAACTACCTTGTTGATTATGGCACAAACAAGAGTTGAACTTTATGAGTGCATGCATCACTTTGATTTGTTGTCCTCATGACTTTACCAAATTAACAGATAAATAGTACATAACTGTCCTATTATTTAAATATTCTGGTAAACTAATCCAAAAAGGGTGAATTGGTTTGTATCTCAAATTAGAGTAAAAGAGAATGGCTGAAATCCTGTTATGCAGTTATGCAAATAGCAGAAGCATGAATTGCCATAAATCATAGGCATTATCTGTTGCACATTGAGTCATGCAACTCAGTATGCAACAAAGAAAGCCGATGGCTCGATACCGTCCCCCATGTATCGTCCCCCTCAGGGCTCCATATTGCCCCCCATGCTGTTTAACATCTACATGGAAACGCTGGGAAAGGTCATCAGGAGGTTTGGGCTGAGGAGTCAGCAATATGCTGACGATACTCAGCTCTACCTCTCATTTCCCACCAATCCAGGTGAGGCAGTCTCTGTGCTGAACTCGTGTCTGGACCTGATAATGGACTGGATGAGGGTTAATAAATTGAAACTCAGTCGAGACAAGATGGAAGTGCTA